TGACATACAGACCATCCCCCAGCACAGCCAAGTGCAGACCATCTCAAACACCTGCACTCAGGCCCATGGTCCTAATCATCCTCTATACGGACCTGCTGGGTAACGCCACAAAGAACCTGAGAATGGGCTCCCACAGGACATACAGAACATCCCACAGCAAGCTCCCTTTTTGTACAAAAGCAAGTGAAAAAAAGAAAAGATTTTAGAATGAAAAATCACAACTCTCAAACAAAACAACCGCCAAGCAAGATTACTGCAGAAAATAAAGGAATCTTTCACCCTTGAAGAAGAGACAAAGACCACGCAGTGCTGCAAGCTGCAGAAATATGAAGTGAGAATTCAGCTGACATCGGCAAAAGCTATTACTGGAAGGGTCAAGAACTCTTCCAGAGGAAAGCCAAAATGCAAGGAGTCTTGGTGACACTGGCTTTTGAATATATTAGCTGTTTTCTGTAGTGGATGTCTTGTGTGCTATTGTAGCTTTCCCATGTGATTATTTTTCCCAAGAACTTTTAAAAGTGCGGTTGATCATTTACTGGACACAACTTCCCATATACTATTGTGGTATTTTGGGTAACATTCCCCAGCTGTGTTTATTATTCATTAGCAAACATCTGGCCAGGGCCATTCTCTGGACAAAAGTATTTCATCGGCGATACTTCTCCTATATCCAAGGACAGACTGCAGACAGATAAGCATTAGCTCATCTCACCTACAGATAAGAGAAAATAACCACTAACAATTAAATCCTTAACTCCTTACCTTCACTCCAGTTTATTAACACAAGACTCTAATTTAAGAAATTTACTGCTTACTATTCTGAGATGGTGTTTTGGACATCTGCTAGTTACACATAAAAGTAATTATTCCCACTGACCCAAGAAGACTGCCAACAAGCCCAGGTGGATGATAGGTGCCAAGCTTCATTTTTTGTGAAAAACAAGCTTTAATCCTCCCTCTTTTATCTCAGCCCAGGTGTTATTTCTATTTCTAAAGATTCCCCCCTTATCAATTAACTCAGAGCAAAAATGCTTTTACTAACCAAATACTACATATTGTGATGCAGGTTGCCTAGCAACCGAGTAACTCTCTCCCACCCTACTCAGAAAGCGGCATAGCCAAGAAAGCCATGACAAATATGGTGCCAAAGAATAAAAGGCAGTTTTACTTTATTAATGACTTATGCTGACATAGACTCCTAACCTATTTACCCATCCACTTCTAAGGTTAAAGTCTGACCTCATAAATTCCTTTTGAGAATCCTCTAATTGATTTTAGCCCTTAGCTGACCCTACCAGAGATTTCCCATTAGTCACTCCCTTTTGGGGGTTGTGAAGAAAGCCTGACAGTCACTGCCTGGTGTAAACTCTTATCTGTCTTTATGACCCTGAAAGAATTCAATCCTTGTGACCTTGCCTTGGCCAGAGAATTGCTGATTGTCGGTGTATGTAAACTGGAAACTTCAGAGACTTGAGGAAGAATGAAGATGGAAAGAACTAAGATAGAACAATGAGAGAACAGCGGAAGAAGGGACAGAGAGGAGCTAAGTATGAGATCAGAAAAGAAGCTCTGTAGATATCATTGACTTAGAAGAATAAAGTGAATGGACTAAAGAGCTCTGTGTGTTTAGATTCTTTTGATATCCCTCGATTAATTCTCTGCCACTGGTAGCATCTTTTCTGGACTCTGAGATAATTCCCCTCAGGGCAGAAACCTGGGGAGAATTTGGTATTGCAGGATAAGCATAGACTAAAGCCAAAGAAGACTGCCAGGCTCACACTGAACATACAGTGAGCACTGCTTGCTTTGTGAGATTTCAGTTATGCCTGAAGAAGAACCAGCGTGCTTTTGTTAGCCAGTGCTGCTTAACAGAGGCTGTTTCACAACCAGCTGGGTCTGTTTGATTGGTCAAGCTAGAACATATGCTTCTGCGACTCATGGGGATTGGTTCTAGTTGTTAAATGGATGTGGTAGGGGTTAAAAGTTCATATTGATTAAAGAAAGTTATTTAGAGTTGAGCTGACAGAAAACTGGCCACAGTAGTGTTCTCCACCACCAGAAGAAGAATCTCTTCTGTTTGAAGATAAAGCCAAAAAACATCTTGGATTTCTGTGAGCACTGAAGCAGTGGAAAGGGGAACTTGTTATGAGACAATATAATATTGAGGGTAGGTATAGCCGACTTTATGAACCAGAGAATAAATTCCATGAAGCAGTATGCCAGGAAAAGTGGTGCTGCATCTCCTCTGGAAGAAATTTGCTTCTTTTCTCTTTTTAGCCTTGGAGATAATTTACAAATCTGAACTCCGTGCTTTCAAGATACTTAAGTCTGCTAATAGATGGTCAATTTTACACACATTAGTAGACATGTAATATATAAAATGAATTCACTTAATGATTGAGATAATTTAATCATTTTTCTGTCTTTCTAGAACCATCCTCATGTACGGAGTTAAGTGAATTCAGAAGATATTGTGGAACTCCTATTGAAACAAGGTATTGACCACATCTTCAAGGATGCATTTGAATAAAGCATAATCTAGTATGCTAGTAAAACATAAAGTGTATTTATACACATTAAAATGCTAATTAACACTAAATTTAGGTACAAAATAATTACAACTGTTTTACATCAGTTGAGAGTTGATTGTTCTGTTGACGTAGTTTTGGAATGGAAGTATTTGACTCAACTCCACCTGCCAAGGAGCAAGCAAAAAGATTTATTAGTAAGAAGCATCAATGAAATTTTATCTCAGGGTGAAGATATTTATGGTGATGCTGGGAACCACACCCAGGGACCTGAATGTATTAGGTATGTGTTTTTTTTACCACTGAGTTGCACACCTAACTTCTCTTTCTGAAGCTTTAAGATCTTTATCTTTGAAGATCACACTCCATTTCATTTTAATAGCCATGCACGACATAGGATTTTATTTTTTGAATTCTTCCTTCGAGCCTTAAAATGTGTAGTTTGACAGAAAATTCTGTTAGTTTCCTTTGTGAAATACTTTATCCATCCTACTCTGATTTTATCTACATCCAACCTAAAAGGCTCTCTAAGTCCAAGGATGTCAAACGCATACATGCATGAGATAGATGAGGCAGACATGAAGAGAACTTAGTTAGCATTTGCTAATGGGGGACTTGATGCGATGAAACCTGTCTTCCAGTTTGGTGTTTATTAACCTTGACTATCAGGCTACACCTACTAATTGTGATTTCTGAGTCTTTATCATAATAGTCATAGATCCTAGAGAACTTGGTAGTCTACATGCCCATGACTTTGTAAATTCCAAATTGCTCCCATTATAATAATACTGTACTCTGGCAGCTGAGACTAAGATTTCCCCACATCCATTGCTAGGTATCTGAGTCTTACCATGTATTCAAAGCATTCCAGTATCCTAGATTATCAGTCACAGTTAGTGACTTTGGGGAAGTCTCTCTTTTCTGCCATGAAATGGGTTTGTGGATATAGTAAGTTATCACTTATGTTATCCAAATCACATCCAAATGTTTGCAGAAAGAGGCCAGAGATGCTTTCCTTCCTTGATAGTAGTAATCTGTATGCAAAGGTTCCTTTGCATTATCCTCTGTATCATAATCTATGGTTGTGACAGATCTCTATCACCTTTCTTTGGGAAGGGGACAGGAAGTGATTGGCCTACTTTTCCATAATAAAGGAACATTTCTCAAGGCACTTTAATTTGTGCCTCAAGAGTTCAGGATATTTTCCAACTTTGCCCCAGAAGGAAGACACTGAGCACAATTCTTTGAATCTAAATTCTATTAACTGTATTTAATAGTTAAGTCCCATCACATCTCATTAGTATGCTTATGCATGTATGAAATATGACTTTGTCTTCTAAGTCATTTGGGGAGAAACATGGAGATTCAGGATCAATATAACAAAACCCAGCTACCACAGTACTTCATTGATGAGTAAAGAACAGCAATAGAACAAACAATGTCTTGGAATTCATTAGTGTTCTCGCCTTAAGGTGACTCTAGTTGAGTAATAACAATTTCTGATATCTGCAGCATTTGACAGTAGGCCCATAGATGAATTAGACAGTGGTTTTCTTTTGGGATTCTAGTCAGCTCAAGATTGAAAAGAGAATTATATACCACTTTACTATTTCTGTGCATATTTTAAGCAGCAAAATTTTCATAGCAATTTGGTGAACTCAAGTAGTAAATTCTCAGTTTTGGAAGTCTAACTCAGGTGCCTAAGAGAAACATGGTGCCAGAACGAGACTTAGAACTCCTAATCTCTTCTCAAGATAATCTACATCTGTGGTTCTCAACCTGTGGGTTGCAATTTTTTGGTGGGGGTGTTGAATGACCTTTCACAGGGGTCACCTGAGATCATCGAAAAACACAGATGTTTACATTACAATTCATAACAATATCAAAACTACAGTTAGGAAGTAACAACAAAAATAATTTTATAATTGGAGTTCACCACAACATGAAGAACTGTATTTAAGGGTTTCAGCAATAGGAAGGTTGAGAACCACTGACTTAGATGGTTTGAACTATATTGTCTTTGACTCAACACCATTTCTCTTTATACTTTCCTTCTTTGGTGAATGTAAACATGTTTTAGAGCTTATAAATTTGAAGAGTATGGCAAAATGTTCTGACAAAATCTTTGATACTTTTTGAAATACTCAAGAATTGATATATTTATAAATGGTTTCCTATGGGTGTTAATAACTATCTACCACCATTTCTGCACATGGAAGAGAGTGTGGTTTTGGAGTATGAGGACTCACTCCTCTCATGTCAGCACAATATCTTCATATGTCAGTCTTCTTGCAGTTTCATTCTCTGTAGTCCTTCCTTAGATTAGAAAGGTTGTAGTAAGAATGTTCTGATTTTCTGTAATAGAACATTGCTTTGGAATATGCTTGAGTGGTGTAGTGGGATCTTAGGGTAAATCTATTCCCAGCTTCCCAAAGAACTGCCACACTGTTTTCCATAGTGAATGTACAAGTTTGCATTCCTGCCACCTCAAAGAGCAGCTTTATTTTTAAAAATACATTTTAATTGAAATATAATCACGTCACTTTCCCCCTTCTCTTTCTTCTCCCTAGCCCCTCCTCAGTTTTAAAAACCAAGTGTCTATTAAAGTTGGAATTATTTAAGAAATTAGTTGTATGAAACTGTGTTGTCTAAAAAGTTTATCAGTTTTGCACTGGAAATACATACTGTCATATAAAAATACTTATAATTAGCATGTTGGGATGATAAGCCCTCTACTTCTGTCCAGCCCCCAGAACATTTAGTGTACTGAGTAAGTTTTTCTTTCTAAAAAAGTTAACTAACATGTTGTATATTTCATAATAGTCACACTGCACTACATTGGAATCTATTTTATGTGTGAGTGTTTTACTTGCATGTATGGATGTACACCATGTGCCTGTCTGGTGCTTATGGGAGTGAGAAGATGGTATTGTATCCTGTGGAACTGTAGTTATGGGTTGTTGTAAAGCACAGCATAGGTTCTGGGAACTGAACCCAGGTCTTCTCCAAGAACAACAAGTGCTTTCAACTTCTAAGTCCTCTTTTCAGCCACCACCACACATTGTATGTGTATAAGAAAAATTTGTTTCACATTAACAATGAATGCATTGCAGTAAGTGAGCATGATCTCTTTGTTATAGATGTCACTGAAAACTTGATTTGTATCTGTAAAACAAGACACAATATTCAATCTTTTAATGATTTCCTTTCCTAAGTATAATTTAAATGACTTTAAAATACATTTTAATTAAAGTATAATTAGATTACTTTCCCTTTCTTCCCTCCAGCACCCCTACACTCCAGCTTCTTCCGTGTACCCCCAGTCTCAAATTGATAGTCTCTTCTTCCCTTATAGTCATTGTTAAAAGCAAGCATACACACACATGTATGCACATGCACGCGCACACACACACCCCCACACATACCACATATGCACGCACACACACAACTACAACCTACTGAATTCAGTTTTATTTTTTGTGTTTATATGGTTTCAGTACTGACTACAATTTCATTGAATAACCAATTAGGGGGCTTATCCCTGAGAGAGGCTAACTCTATCTCAGCAAGTCATTAAATTTTTTATAGTTCCAGAATAAGGATCCAGGAGCATGACCCTCTGAGATTCTCCTATCCCTTCTTTGTTAGCACGTCTTTTGGTATTGCCTTTGTTCAGATCTTGTTTACACAGCCATTTCTATGAGAGATTGTTTCACAGCAGACTTTCAGACTTCCAGTCTTTCCACCTGCCCCTTCTGTGGTTTTCCCTGAGCCGTAGGTGCTGGAGTTGTGATGTAGATGAATCCATTGGGACTGGAATTCATACATTCTGTTGATTTCTGCTATGTGTCTACTTTTAGATTGTGGTGATGGTCTCTCTTTGCTATAAAGAGACATTTCTTTGATGAGGGGTTTTGTTGATCATGTTTGTCTTCTTAAAAAAATCAGCTCTTAGCCGGCCGTTGGTGGTGCACACCTTTAATTCTAGCACTCAGGAGGCAGAGGAAGGTGGAGCTCTGTGAGTTCAAGGACAGCCTGGTCTACAGAGTTAGTTCCAGGACAGGCTTCACGTCTACACAGAGAAACCTTGTCTCGAAAAACCAAAATAAAATGAAATAAAAAATTAAAAAAAAACCCCAGCTCTTAGATTCACTGTATTCATTGATACTTTGTAGTGTTTTCTTTGTTTCTAGTTTGTTCATCTTTGCTTTAATTTTCATTATTTTGTGCTATACATTATTTGGGGTTTTGGCTTGTTATTTTTTTTCCAAATTCTTGAATCTCATCATTAAGGCATTTATTTTTCTTCTTCATGATTTTTTTTTAATGTAGGCACTTAGAGCTATGAACTGCCCTCTTAGAACTGTCACAGAGGTTTTGTTGTGTTGTGTTTCCATTTTCATCCAGTTGAAGACTATTTTTCTTTCTTGAGTTCCTCTTTGACCCATTCAAAAATGAGTAACTTAAGTTTATATTGCATACTACAGTTTTGCCTGCTGTCAACTTTAAGTTTTATCACATGATGGTCAGGTAGGCTACATGGCATTATTTCCATTTTCTGTATTTCTTAAGGTTTTCTTTGTGTCTCAGCATAAGCTGTATTTTAGAGGAGCTCCTATGTGTTGCTGAGTAGAATGTGTATTCTTTGGTGTTTAGGCAGAATGCTATTTTAATTATCTGTTAGGTCCATTTGATAAAGATGATATTTAATTCTGAGGTTTCTTTGTTTATTTTTTGGCTAGATGACCTATCTATTGGGAAAATTGAGGTTTTGTGTTTATTTGTATCTTTAAGTCTATCAAGTTGATTCTTACGAAGTTGGATGCACTAGATTTTGGTGCATATATATTGTATTGTAATATTTTCTTGGTTAACTGACACTTTGGTTAGTATGAAGTGCCTTTCTTTGTCTCTTATCTATTTTGTCAGATATTAGGATGGCAAAACCTGCTTGCTTCCTGATACTATTTGCTTAGAATACCTTTTCCATTCTTTCATTGTAAGATGGTGCCTGACATTAAAACTAA